CGCTCCGAAAACGAGTATTTGAGATCATCTGGGTGAGATAAGTATCCTCGAATGTTGAGGAAGTTGGCATGCAGATTTTGCAGTGTGTCCAATGCAAATAAATTTTCCGCGTGTAGGAGACCACCTCGAATCTACCCGTACGCGAGGGAGAAACAAATTAAACACACGAAGTTTGCATTAGTATGATAAGATATTTATGCCTTCCACGATGTTCGTCGACCTTCTTGGAACTCTCTCCAGCATTATCCCAGGATGGGCGCATCCTGAGGAATAGATCGGTGCACAAACAAAATAATATATACTCCCGATCTACAACCGGCCAGACATCGACCTCGATAGCTCATAATATCTTAATTTCTTCGGTCAGGGGGTGCCACGCCTAAATTAAATGGGGAAAGTAGTTTTATTAGTGCACCTCATATACCCCCTAGTCCCAGCATTTTGTCCCATGGAAACGATGGTTGTAGGAGTTTGGGGGTGCAAAGTAGGATAGGCGGTGAAGGAAATTTGTAGATGAAAGTGTAAAGTGGAAAAACTGTAGTTGAATTTGCTTCCGGCGACTGCTGGGAGTAGGTTGTTCCGCATGTAACTTGAAGGTATGCGCGGCCCTCTCGCGCCGCGGACTATACTAATGCAACTCCAGAATGGTAAGTTGGACTTCAGTAAGTTGAAGCAGACGACCTCCTACCCGCCATTTCTGTTTTTTTTTCAGGAATTTCAAGAAACCTGCATTTTGATAATTGGATTATTCCGCAATACGTTAAACGATAATATAGTTTCGGAAAATCTACTGATATAAATCAACAACCTTTCTAAATACATCAAAATAAAAATGCATACAGCAGTTATTTAAGTATTATCCTAGTTGCCCGCCCATGAAACCCTTATTACCACCTCTTCCGTGGGCCAAAATGCTGGAAATAAGGGTATATGATGTGCTGTAGCGGACGCCTACGTTCCTCCCCCTTCCGAGGTTCGCTGCCCCATAGTCGTGTCGTCATAAAC